TGTTTTAGCGTTTCCTAGTCTGTGCATGTGATAAAGCAGCGTTACTGCCATCACCAGGTCTCCACTGAGTACATAGCTGGTTTTGCGTTATTTAACAAGTTAACTCTCTGCTTAACTCTCATTTAAAATCCGTATGGTAAAAAGTACCGGGTACAACAGTAGTTAGAAAACTAAGACCTCATACATCATACATGATTTGATGTTGTTGTATCCTGTACTTTTTACCATACGGACTCTGAGAGACGAGACAGTCCAAGTAACTACAGTAGAAAACAGTGCGGATTTATTCCATGAACACAGGCAAAAAATATTACACGCTCAGGTATCTTGCACCTCCAAACTGCTCACAGGCAGATGTAAGATGAAAGACCCTGAACCCACCAGGCCTATACATTATATCCCCTCGGTTGGGCTAGCCCCATACTACACAGAAACGTCAACCGAGACGTCTCTGTTACCAGCTTTGCAGCTGGTCATAGCAGTAGTCAAAACATGAAGTAAATCAATGTGTGTGTGTCTGTTGGTTAAGTGGTGTGTAGCTAAAAACATTCTCACAGACCTCTAGTAACATGTCATGATATTAAACATAAGAACATATTATGGCTAAGGCTACAGTTATACACGTCATAATAATAATATTAAACACCCTGTCTGCTGACAGTCATCAACTCTTCTCTCTAGTTATCCTTGACCAGATGTACCCTGTAGAAACTCATAAGCATGACTAAGCATTTAACAGTCTAACTAGACATCCTATCTCCACTAAACATTTCTAATACATAAAGTATCTATCCAGTTTCTATCTGACTAAAAATACCTAACACTACAACATGACGGATGAGTGTGTTCCAGGAGAAATGTTTTCTCATGCTGTTTAGGGCCTTCTCCAAAACAGACCTGTTCTTTATTGAGCTGAACAGCTCACAGAGAAGAGACATGCAGAGACTGTCAAGACCGGTAGGTCAACTGTACGCACTGTAACATCGCCCTATGTCAGCTTATATAGAACAGTGACCAGAGTTTTCATTCAGACGTGAAGCTGACATGTTCAGATGCCATCGGATTAATGGAAAGAAGTACATGTCTGAAAGGGGCTAACATTTCAGTGACTTCCTTTAGCTAAACTAAATTCACATGGTCTGGTTTTTCTCTGAAGTACAACTGTATTTGAATGAGATATAAGGTATTTTAATGGCCACCAGTGGATTTTAAATGAGAGTTAAGCAGAGAGTTAACTTGTTAAATAACGCAAAACCAGCTATGTACTCAGTGGAGACCTGGTGATGGCAGTAACGCTGCTTTATCACATGCACAGACTAGGAAACGCTAAACCAGCCTGTCAGCCAGTCAGGGGCTCTCCTGACCAGGAGTTTCAGGATTGACACTGCATTTTTGTGGGAGCCCAAAGCTCATGGGTCCCTCCTGTGATCCAGCAGGGTCAGGGGTCGTATGCTTAAAACTGAGTTATGAGAGCCAGTGCATGGCTTCCATAGCCTGACTGGTCTATGGACAGGGTCATACATGCATGTCTACATGGCAGCTGCCTCATTTTCAGGCTATTACTCTTAATTCAGGCAACCGTAACCAAATTATCTTTTGTCATCAACAAGGCCCTCATTTATTCCAGAGATGAACCCATGTTAACAAAATGGTGCTCTCTCTGCTTGTCATGTTTATAGGTCTTCATTAAGTGGAATTTATGTTTTCCTGTTATTCTTCTGAGGCATCCCTTTACGGCACCATATGTCTCTCTCTCTTCCCCTCGCTTCTGTATCATTGTTTCTGATCTGATGGCACACAGAACATTCCCTCACACAAATGTGTCGCAGCCCTGGTATGCAAGGCATGCATACGACACCCAGACAGTGCTCTGCATCCACTCAGTGGGCTGAGCTTCCCACTGACTAAAAATACCTAACAATGTATTGTCCAATCTCACATGTATGGCATGTACTATATGGTGCGTTCTAAGGTCCTCAAGGTTTTTTTTAAATCCATTAGGCCTATAGCTAAAAAATGTCTAGTCAAATTATTTTCATAGATATATTTGAGAGCAGTCCAACCAAAACAATGTTGTTTTCTTCTCCAACTGGTAAATTGTAAAAGTTCATAAGGGTTTGGAGAAGTCAAGCTCTGCTATTTCACAAGAAAAAGCTAGATTTGGGGAAAGCCATTAAAAATAAACAGAATTCTGTTTGGTACAAATATTGCTTAGTATCTGTTTATCATTTTATGATCTCTCAGACTATGTCTATATCCTAACTTTTTGAACCACTATAAAAGGACAATGACATTCTTTAAATATTGTTGTAATCATATACGCAACAAGTGCTGAGTAAGTTAATGACTAAAGTTTTAAAATGCCCCAAATCTTCCAGACATCCGAAACAGTGGGAGTAGTGCTGCTGATGAGTCCGCTGAGCAGCGGGTCCATCCCCCGGCGTCAGATTGGACAGAGCCGCTTCGTCACGCCCATGGGAGGAGCCTGTGGTCGATTCTGAGGCGCGGTTGAAATACTCACAGCCGAACCCCTGACATCTTTTAATTTGAGCTCAGCCGTCCTGGCGTCCGCACTGACTAAAGGGCGGTCATCTTGTTTCCAGACCAAGCTTAGGAGAAGGAGTTCCGTTCGGATTTTTCACTTCTTTGGCAAGATCTCACCCATCCCCGATCTGGATTTTTAACTCTCCAAAAACTCTTCCTAGGTTTTTCTTTTTCAATTTGATTTTTTTTTTGTTCGCAACACCTAAAGGGGAGAAGATGGGAGCCCAGTTGACCAAGGGTGGGGTAGATGCCGAGGGGAAAGCCCGCAGGCTGCCAAAGCCACCGGCCGGGTGAGTGAAAGGGGCCTGACGCACCGAGAGCCAGCGGGGAGCCACATGGCACCCAGCTCCCGCGGGCAGCATGGGTGCCATGGCGGGGCCTGATGTTGCCCTTTGGTTGTCCACACTGAGAGCAGATCTAGTCCTCTGCTGAGTGTAAGCAGCCGTCGACTGACCATGCTCGTCCCCGCTCAGCGCGTACCAGACCTGCCTTTGTTAAATCCCTCTGCTGCTCGCAAAGGTACCATTTACCCGTAAATTGTGTGCAAGAGCGGCACGTTTGTGTCGAAATGTGTGTTTGGACTGTGCTTTCTCTCATGAGTTGGTTGTGGGAGATAAGCGCTCTCGCGTCGAACAAAAGATGCCAGGCAAATGGTGCAAAGGATGCAAATGCGCTCTGGCGGAGGCGCAAACAAAGCGCGGACAGGCGCCACTTCTGACCTCCTTTCCCCAGCAGCTTATGTACATCGTAGCGTTTTTCCATGTGGAGCTCGACTGAGTTTTTTTAAGTGTGCGCTTTGATTGCCCTTATGTGATTGTAAGGCTGATTGACGAGTGGTTTATGAGTCTCACCCCGTTATGTGATTGTTTGTTTCCCGTTCAGACATTATAATCGACCCTTCGCTTCGGTTCACCAGTTTGCAGACTTGTGGTGAAACCCACGCTGGTCGTTAGAGGAGTGCATTGAATGCGAGTCTTTATTTGTGTATGTGGCTGATGTGCTGGCTGTAGTCGAGCCACGCTGTTCTCTTGCAGAGATATGAGCTGCAGCTCCTGGATGAGAGCAGGAGCCAAGTTTCACGGGGATTCCTTTGTTCCCAAACCGTATTGACGTTTATATGTAGCACTACTGCCCCCACGTGGCTGCTCAGAGTCCTGCAAACAGCTGTTGAATCCCCTGTCTGAACCTGTGCCAAGGCCAGCAACTTTCCTCAAGTATAACGCGGATTAACCGCTGCAGTAAAAGGGCGAGTACTTATCTGTCATATGCCAGGTTAAACATTAGAATTATTTGCATTCTTGGTGCATATTTAATCTACAGATCACCTGTTATATATAAATAATGTTCCCTTTCCAGAAAGAATGTGCTTAGTTTGAGCCAGTTTGATATTTGGATCCATAACCAATACATCCTCTTCTCTGCAGGAGAACGGGCATGTCAAAACCAACGGTGACGTGTCAGCCAAGCCTGATGGGGAAGTGCCTGCCACAGATGGGAATGGAACAGCTGAACCAGCCAAGGAGGGTGAAAGCAGCACCAGAGATGCCATCGAGCCTGCTCCTGTGGCCGAGGGCGAGGCCGCCAAAGCAGAGGGCGAGGCTGCCAAGGAGTGCAAGAAGAAGAAGAAGTTCTCCTTGAAGAACTCATTCAAGTTTAAGGGCATCTCGCTGAAGAAGAACAAGAAGGGCAACGAGGAAGTCAAAGAGGAGGCCACCTCTCCCACGACCG